TCTCTACAAGTTGTATCACTCACAGGCTGAATGGGTACGTCTTTACTATCCTCGAATCGGTGGAAGTCAAGGTCACTAGTAGTTGCATATCGTTGCAGTCGGCTTGAACGGGTCTCATTCGTATTACCTTTCCTTCTCTTTCGTCTTCTTTTCCCATCTCTACCTTCTTCTTGACTTTCTTTCCAGTTGGAGGTTGGATTAACTCAAAAGTCGCAACCGATCAGACTGCATGTATCAACCGGTATGTGTACGCATAGTTTACCTACCATAGACCGATGACACGGCGACGACCATCAGACTGCCACCATCATGGCCCGCGCGTGATTTGGAGTCAATTTGAATGCGCAGCGCGAGATGAAACCCGACCTCAGCCTGGGTCGAAAACCATGTTCTGCCTGCCCCAGCTCTGGTACTTAGTGAACGTATTTGGTCAAAAGTTCTTTGTTTTCATGACAACAGCCATGTCTTTGGCTGACATCGGGACTTCGCTTGCGCGCATGGGGGTCAAGTGTGAACACACACGCTAGTCATGACCGTCTCACGATCTAGCGCCACGACCAAGGCAATACCGTGCCGCGGACTTCCCTGGCCTTGATCTGGATACTTGACAAGTATAAGTATCTATATAGACGCACATAGGGACAGAGTTAGCGTAATTCCTCAAGATCCTGAAGGGCCAACTCTCGCCTGCGTTCACCAGCGATTCCATAGAGCAAGCCTCGACATTGCCAGTCCACTCCATCGCTGACACAGGTACGAAAGATCTCATGGATCTGGCTGGCCATGACCCTTTCGCGCCCGCTACGAGCACCCGTTCCATGCAGACAATGGAGCCAACGAAACCTTCCACCAGTCCGCAAACCGACACTGAAGACTTCGATGACATCGCAGCAGCGATCAGTCTGATGATGATGCAGACTGCCGACTCGGCCAAAGACAAGTTCTCCTTGGACAACGATCACTCCGGTACTCTTGAAACTCCCAAAATTCCCTCCATACCGGTGACAGAACCGAACAAGAATGACATATCGTTGGAGACAAAAGACTTTGGTAGTTTTATCGCAGCTACAACAACAAGGAGAGCGCTCCCAATTCGCATCCCTTCCATATTCACCAGTCATCGCGTTGCTGCTGGCTCTCCCACTCTCAGCTTTGCGCAACAATCCACTGTGGTTGATGAACAGCTGCCACTGGCCTGGCTCCAAGACATGTCCAACGACCCTGAGTTCGGTGGCGGCGATGTGACCAATTGGAATGACCCCACACCGGAATGCTTTTCCGCACCGCCGCCTTTACTGGAGCGGACTCCAATGTTGCCAACGCAAGCGGCTATGAACTCAACTCACGACATATGTCTTCCATTGGACAACGCTACTTCCATAAGCCTGTGGCTCGACGATATCAGCAGTGGGTTCACACCTGAGTCCTTGAGTTCTTCTCTACCATCACCGGAGGAGCGCGCAGCCCCATGTTCGAGCCGAGAGTACGACTCGTCAGGGCTATCTCAATTATGCGAATTGCCTACAATTCAACCGAAGAAGCGCAAGCGCTCGTTCTCCGTCTTATCAGATGTCCAGTGCGCACGACGCTCGTCCTGGAACCAACCTTGGCCCTCCTCATCCCTCCTACCGGACCATGACGTTCCAGTAAGTCACAGCACGGTCAGCAGGCATGTCTTTCTCCCATTATGAGTCATTGTTAACGCAGCTTGTAGCAGTTTGCCTATCCCGATAAGTCAAACGATATGCATGCGACAGAGAGCCTATGGGAGGGCCCAACGTGCGTGGAGCAGGCCGACGACGACAACCACCCTGTGAACGAAGCCTCCTTGAACCATGCGACAGGTACGGTGCTGTTCGTATCAGAAAGCCAGCTTCAGCTTGGGAGCGACAGCTGCTACACATCGGCTAAGTGGTTGGTCTAGAAGGGGGTCGAATCGATTGTACAATACACAGGTAGTCTCCTTTGTTTCTATAGGTATCAATGTCGTTTGATCGTATCCGGGATAGTTGCAACGAAGTACGTCAGATTGTGAGTTCCATACTAATTTACTTCCTCCCCCTTCGTTTCTTTGCCACATGCGAGACGGTCATCAGTAAAGTGCCGACAATCTGGGCAATGAAGAACTCGACCGTATCCCTGAACTAGGATACAATCTCACAGAGACAAAGTGGCAGAAGCTGAGAAGTTCTAGCCGGCAGTGAACCTGGGAGCTCTCATCAAAGCGTCAGGACAATCGAGGACGGATGCAGGCATTGCTGCGGCGCTCCACCACGCAGCTTCACTGGATGCATCAACACCGTCCTCCTTCGCAGGAGCCTATCCTAACAGCCATTGTGTTCATGGGTGAATCTGGCTTGCTGGCGCGATAGAAAGATTGTCAAACCCGATAGATGCTCAAAGAAGTCAGGTAACGAGCCAGATCAGCATCATCATTGTTTGCAGGCTGTCTACGTTACGAACGATTGCAAAGGGCACGTGGCACGCATTACGCTGTACCGTAGTCGTTACGTACTGGTATCCCCAGAATATTTGCTCTTAATGTCTCGCATTGTCGTCGCAGCGACGCAAATTCTGAGTCGCTACAGCCACTTGTAAAGTCGTCGGCAATATCCCCTAGTTCTCGATGAATCGGCCCCCAACACCACCTGGGCATGCGTAGTGCTTGTCAGAGTCATTCTCGATGGGTGGGTGAGATCTGATGTCTTTGTGCAGAGCGCACACGATCTCATAGAACCAGGATGCGCAACACTAAACCCCCTTACACGCGGTTTCAAAGGTGTCGGGCTCATATTCGGGTCAGGTTTCAGCGCGTGCCAACGCCACATCCGCCATCGTCAACAGAAGACCCAAACTCGTCACATGTTCCTCAATGATGGGAATACAGGCAGTCTGCCAGCCGTATTAACTGCTTCGATAGGCGATTTCGTTGTTGCTACTGCTCAAGATGGAGCGCTTGAATCTCGGTGATGTGATGAACGCCATCATGTGGCTCAGCCATGACCGGCGTAGCAGCGCGCGACCCACTTAATTGCCGAAGCGAACCTAGGCACCCATGCTTTCCAAGGTTTCCAGGCGCGCCTTAGCGTGGGGTCAGCCGCCAGCTGCATCTCCAACGTCATATCACGATCTCCAGCGAAGCTCACGCGCTATCCTTTCCACGATGTCTCGAACACGCTTAACCTGCGATCAATTCCTGGTTCCCAACAGTGATACTCCAACGATGCGACATCCAGCTCATCTGTCTCCTGATCTGACGAAGCACATACAACAACACGCGCGAGTTTACAGCGAGGAGATGAGGCTCACATCCATACGACTGGGCAGCACTAGTCCATGAATACATCCATTTTCCGGCTGTGTTACCAAGTATGTACCTTGTTAAGGCTTACAATTTGCTCATCGCTGTCCATTGTAAGCTGCAGGGCTGTCTAGTTTCTGCCTTGCATCAGGTATCTAGATCTTCTACGGATGCACTAGCGTCCACATCGGGCGCCTTGAACATGATGGGGATGAGGTATGGCTCAAGAGGGGCACTACGGAGACTTCGACGTGCAGGTGAACCAAGATCTCAAAGAGCGTTTCTGGTTCAGCGCGAGAGGGTGAACCAGGCCCGAAACCGTCTCCTTCACCTTTGGTCTTTCATTCTGAGCGTTCCAAAGTGACCTGGAAAGATACCAGAAAGGACTGACCATATTCCATATGCGACGCTGATCGTGACTACTTAAGCTTCCACTACTTATCTCGTCACCAAAACCTTTAGCAACATCATGGGCACCACCGCTACCATCACCATGCAGGCGTCTGCGCAAGATCACCCTGTAACCACCCCAGATTCCACTTCAACCACTATCAATTGCGCAATCCTTAATTCACAACGTTGTCTACGAACACCCCACAGAGAGAGAAGACACAAACCCGACTTCGTCATCTACGCCGACAACTCCACGGCGAATTTTCGGAGACCGTTGCCGCGAAACAAGGGTGTACGCGTCCCGCTGCGCGAAAAGACCAACCTTGCCAATGCGGTGATGGTACCTGCGTGTCGCCGCGCCGACATTCCTTTCGCATTTAATGCTGTCGATCCCTTGTGGGAAGATAATGAGAACTACATGAGAGATTATAGAACGAGTCTTCCTACATCCCCGCTTCATCGCATATACGAAACGCTACCGTCGACCGTCTCGGATCGCTCCAGGTCATCACGACGGGTGAGGAGATTAGCGCCTTTGCATTCCCCAGCTCCCACCCGCCATCGCCGCACGACACGACGTCAGATATCTACACCAAAGTCACCAGCCGTACCGATATCCATACCGATTCGAACTGCGATGCACGGCCAAGTCAATGCTTCCTCGCTTGACTGCACAACCTCGTTCACACAACCATACATTCTGCCAGCGCTACGCGTTCATCATCCCATCAGCCCCTCGAAACCGGTATCCAATGGTACATCATCCTCTGTTTTGGCTCATAACGCTACTTCGCCATCAACACATCATTCAATATACGAGCTTGCTTGCGATCGCGCGTTCCGCCCCTCAATTGTCTCTTCGCCGATCGGATCTATTCACGAAGCTCCGGCGACGTACGCTCGGGGGTACGACTAGCTCGGTGCAAATCAAGCATATGAGGACCAGTATGAGGCCGCGGTTCTAGTTCGTAAAACAGCAGTCGCAACGCGAAGGGGACAGGAACAGTTGCAGGGTTAGAGATGTGATCGTTTTCTTATCGAAAAAGGGCAGTTGCGAGCGTGTCTCTGATGCCTGCGTAAAGTTCCTTTGCGACGAGACGGTTTATGATGATAGCCGTGTTATAGCAAGGTCTTGTACTGAGAGCTGTGATGTAAATCTGCCACATTTGCCAAACTAGCGTCTTTTGACATATTGCCAACTTCATTGCGTCTGTATTATTCACTCGTATCGATGCTAATCGTCTCACAACAAAGACACCGGGTGCTTTGTATTTGTAAGAGCTAACTTCCCTGCCTGGAAAACTACTCAAATTCTCTCAAACTCTGCATGTTCACTGGCCATTCGCATCATATCCACCCATTCCTCTTTCGTCTTGCCCTGAAACCAGCGTTCCTGTGGCAAGAACCTCATTCCGCCATCCATGTTTCGTTGGATCTCATCATCCATCTCTTTTTGAAAAGCGGCATCATTGAGTCGCCAACCTGATGTAGCCGGCATATCATCTTGGAACGGTAAGAATTTCTTGATGTGGTTGTACGCTGCGGGCGAGTCTGGCCCCCACTTTTCGTGCCCACTGTTACCAATGTATAGTTGGTTGCACGATGACGGCAATTTTTCGGCGACATCGCTCCACTTATACCCCACGGTAGCGAGATAGATGTACTCAAAGCGAGCATATCGCAATCGCGGCTGTCGGGATAGAAAGGTGATGAGAGACGGTGTGTCCAGGACCAAACTTCGTAGCTTCAAAGTTGTCAAGGCCGGAAAGACTAGCGGTGTGATATCTGCTGAGTCGGTGGCACTGACGCTACCAAGGAGCTTTGCGATGTAGTGCTCGCCCACATCCGGTAGTTGTGGATGTGATGTAGTCATGTTGCGGAACTCGAATGTTTGTAACGTCTCCGATGAGCAACGAATCAAGGCAGCGAGGGATTCAGCTTCGTTGTTAGATGAGTCAAGCATGAAGTCGACACTCTCGGCGTTGAACGAAAGTGCAGTGAGAGAGCTGAACATGTGTTCCAAGGCGGCACTTGTCGTGATTGAAGATGGATCAATCTTGGGGAGAACCAGACTCTGGATGCGACTGTTCGACGCTTGAACGGCGGAGCATAGGAGTTCAAGGTGCTTCCAGGTCGTGCCGCATCCAGAGAACTGCTCGTCCACTTCATCGCTGACTGCGTTAGTTTGGTGTCATGCAAATCATGTGGCCATACTCACTCGCCGCCCTCTTCGAATCCATAATCACCCAAGTCACAATGCCACTCTTGGACTTCGATAGCTTTCAGGCACGGCATATGTGCGAAGAGCTTGACCATTGCTGCTAGAATCGCGTCTGCCCTTACGCGCTGCTCCTCCACCTTGGCGGCCCAGATCGCTTCCGCCTGCTCGATCAATTCGCGCTCTCTATCGGGTCTTGCTAGTCGTTCCGCGGCGAGACGACGAATTCCGGCATACTCACCTTCAGAGTCTGTCTCAAAGTCTTCTTCATCATACATTCGATGAAAGTCTTCCTCGTAGTCTTGCTCACGCTCTAGCCAATGGCGATACCTCGACCAGAACCCTGGAAGAACAGTCAGTATCGGTCTGGCTATGGATAAATATCCATCGGCTGAACTTACCATCTACGTAGTATTTGGGACTAAACTTGAGCTTCCGAACATGCCGCGCAATGTCGTGCGCAATGAGCTCATCCACGGTACTTTCCAAAGAAACCAACTCCACCGTGCGTGAACGACCCGGGTACATGACACACTCGTTATTCTCCATCCTGCCAAATCTGCTCTGGGGAGAGCCATCTAGATGAATGGTGGCGAAAATCAGCGGCCTCACAATGGTCGCAAAAGCGCGACATGTTTGAGATACTGAGCGGAGGTGGTGCTGGGGCAAATGTGAAAAGATCTCGAGGTAAAGTTCATCGGGCAGTTCCATGGTGATATGTGGTACTAGAGACTAGGGAAAGACAAACAAGCGCTATATGTACAAAAGGCGTGCGGTCGGCAGCAGCGCGGGCGTGACTGCGCGATGGTTTCGCGATATTAGCCTGTTCGCGCGAGGCACTAAGCAGCAAGGCAGCAATCTCGAAATGGAACACTTATATTGACGACGCGGGCCGATTTTCATGAGTGCGTGTGCAGAGACACGATTATTGGTGGGTGGTGCATTCAGTGTTGGTGATGAGGACTTGGTGCCAGGCACCAGCAGCGCCTAAGATTCGGCGACAAGGTGCGGGGCGTTGGTGGCGCATCGCCATAGTAGCGGCAATTCATGCGGCAAGTCGAACACGTGCCTGCTTTGAAAGGCTGTGACAACGATTCAAGACCTTGGTAGATAATCCAGAAGCTTTCAGTGCTCAATATGATCGTGGGATGTTTTTCCATGGTCTTTCAAGCTACAGAGTAGAAGAGAATGTGTTCACACCTCTTCAACTTCCTCCTGTCACAGCCCAGCTGCCCTTGACGCTCGATTGGCCCCCCCGTAATCGCAACAATCTGCATGGAGTGGGATGCGACAAGCCGCGGAACGATTGCGACACTCCCTTCCCGATGAGTGCAGAAAGTCTGCTGTCGAGGTGTTGTTCGCGCGCCCAACACACAACCGCAACTGACCACAGCCCTTTGATGAAGCACAGGAGAGTCCATGTACACAATAGTCAAGCAGAGCTGGCACTTGCACTGCGGTGGGAAGCGTGACCTTCGGAAAAAAAAATGGTCGTCCTCCCGACTCCAGTCTGTCGTGATTGCTGAAGGCGTTTCGGCCATTTTGTTGTCACCAGACACATGTCCATGCCGCATGCCATCTTCCGTGGAAGCAATGTGATCGCGACATGCTCTCGCCGCGCCGTCCTGATTGTCTGCAGGTTGAAGGATAGTGTCGAACGTTGGGGTGGTATAGTGCGACCGTCGAGCGCGCCGATGTACGTGTAGGCTTAGGGGGTGCTTCAGTCGCGGTGGCAATTTGTCGCCTACACCATGTCAGCAATCTTGCAGCGTCGCGTGACGCGAGACTTCTACTTACGGGGTGGAGGACCTTCTTCGGCGTCCAGACTATCCAAGCTTTGTGCAGCGTGTTCGTCGCAAGCGGTCATTTGCGAGCCGGCCGCGCGCGCCAGTTCCGAGCTCGAGAGCGGCAGGCGAAGTAAGTAATTTTGTTGAGACCACTACAGCCATATTGGCGTGATGATGTCGTCACCCAGAGCAGAAGGTTGGGTGCCAAAGGGGCGTTCGAGAGACGAGAAGCAAGAGTGCCGCCTGAGAGAAAGTAGGGAAAGGCTCCGTGTACGCCAACTTGTTTTCCAAGAAGGTGTACGATATAGCAACGCCAACTCCATCCCGGTGTTCAAGAGACGAGTGTTGTCGATGTTGAGCATGTTGCCGGGGCCAAAGTGTTGGACGCCATCAATAGGGTATGGGGTATGGCGTCCATACTGCACTGAAGCGTTTAAGAGAAGCGTGGGCCATGGTCACGGAGACAATGTGCTGAGGTGGAGTGTCGAGTGACGCGACTCAATCTGTCCAATCGGAGCTCGTGGAGATTCCTAGCGCGGCCCTAACTGGATCCAGCCCACCACCTACCCGAGGCCTGCTCAAACATCACACGGCCCGCAGCTACGTGAGTGACATGTCTGCATCTCTCCGGCAAACGCCCATCCACGCGCGCCTCATCTGAATTGTCTAGCAGCTAATGCTTCGCTGCAAAGTCCTCGTGTTGGTCTTTCCTTCACGTTCCAGCCTCTCTTAGCCGGCCTTGCGGACTCGACGCCAACAATAAGGGGCACTGGCTCCATTTTGTCGACGGTACCTAGGTATTGATCCGCATGGAGACATATCACAGAGAGGCGAGATGCCGCGAAATGGTGAGTAATGCAACGAGATAACACCAGAACCCGACATGCATGTCATGCAAATCTTCTGGCATGTTAGATGGCCAAAGTGAGAAGAAATTGTACCATGTATTAGACTACCGATGACTACCTTCGCCGCGTTCTCATTAGATCCACCAATTCACACGATCGTACAAAATTATACAAAGTTTCCACCAATGCGACAGTCTGGCCCAACATACGAACCCTTACTCCTTCTTAGCCTTCTTCATCACTGGTCCTTGGTTGGCAGAGCCCACACGAGGACCACTGTCACGAACCGAACCCCCCGATGCCGATGCCGCCTCCTTCGCCGGCGCGGATGATGTAGCTGTTGTGCTTTTCACCTCCTCTGCCAGCTCCTCGCGCCATCCCTGGAGGAAACCCCGAAGGTTCGCCTCGCCGCTGTTGACCTCGTTGACGTGAACGTTCGGAAGCATTACGTCCGGTACGGTCGCTGTAGTGGCTGCCCTGCCTGCGACGACATTGGAGCCACTTCCAGCAACCTCTGGGTAACGACTTGGGTCGAGGAGTGTTACTGGCCCCCTCAGAGGCGACTCTGCAGCTCCTTCCTCATCGTCCGCTTCCTTGTCTGGTTCTTCCACCATCTCATCTAGCGCCTGGAGTAGTAGACCATCGACCTCTTTCTGACCCTCTGCATCGTACTCTACTACCACTTCCTCGGTGCCTTCTTCCATGACATCTCGCCGGGGTTTCTCTTCACCCGTACCGCCCATCTCATCCTCTCCTCCTCCAGCCCCCTCTCCTTTGGCCACTGTCGTGACGTCTTCTTTGCTCGTACCAACAACTTCACCCTTATCATCTGTGTTGTCTCCTTCCATGGTCTTTTTGCCTATCGCCTCATCGAAGCTCTGGTCTCCCTCCTCGTCGTCGTCTTGTCTCTTCCTCTTTACACCTAGATCGCCACCAGTTTCGACAGTGTCAATTGGGTCGTCTTCGCCAAGATCAATGTTGAGATCATCTTCCGGCAACACAAGATTCTGGTGGGGTACTGGGGGTTTGACAAGAAAGGTGGTATGGTCCCAGGTTGTTGTCGAGGAGCTCGACGCCTCCGGTATGTTGAATTGGATCAGCGGGTCCGCCATGGGGTAGAGAAGTGACCCAGACAAATCCAAATATCCGCCTTTGGGCATGGAACGGTTGAGCGGCAGCAGTTGTGGGCCCGCTGGGAGATCGGAAGACGTCGCGACTGGTGGTATGGGGTGTGATGCGGTAGTAGGGGGGGCAGGTTGCGGGCTCGGGCTCGGTGTCAGTGGTTTGTAGTGCCCTGTGGACAGGTCAGCATGAGCAGTATTATTGACAATTGCTGATCCAATACTTACTTCCATTGCTCCTACCCTGTGTGGGTGTCTCGTCCGCCATAGTCAGGCGTGTGTTGAAGGTTGACTGGGCGGCGTTGGATTCCAAGGTGTGGTCCGCCGGATTGCAAAGAGAGGGAAAGTGTCAAGGTCTTTGCACGCGCAGCTGAGGGAAATTTTCTGTTTATGTGTCGTGCGCAGTGCGCGTCACTTCGTATGCAGGTAGCCATGCAGCAAACGCTCACCGCGACGCGTCGAGAGAGAGCGCAAGTCGACATGTCATCTTCACTCTCACTTTCACTTTCACCTTCATTGCGTCGGCATCCACGCTCTATACAGCAAATCAAATCTTGTGGAGAGCATTACTCGGAAGCATTCACAAATCTGCAGTCGCTTCTTCCTCTGCGTGCTATCAATGCGGTGAGTGGAGAAGCACGAGTGGTGACCAAGTTTGGGTTAGCGTAAGATCGGTACCCGCTAGCGCGCGGGAAGGGGAGAGATTCACGTGGGTGTCTCTGGAACATGAGAAGTTAGCTCATGTGCTGCATTGACGACGTGATTGAGGGGAGGTTTTCGTTCGGCTTCGTGATGAAGCTTCCCTGGTTCGGCTGAAGTGGACGTAGTCCAGTGTGCGCCAGTGCGCCCCATCAGGTTGCAGAAACTGTCAAGCCGATCGGGATGCGGGTATGTCTGCACAACAAATTCCTCAACACAGCGCATCATGATATAGTGGCTCCTCCTGAAAGCTGCAACTGCGATCTCGGATTGAGGTCGCCTTCTAATGGTTAAACGCATGAGTGGTCTCATGGAGGCGCGTGAGTGGTACCTGAGAGCATCAGAAAGAACGAATCAGGCCCAACGTAAGCATGGTAATAACGGCAGCTCGCCTGGTAGGGATTGCAGAGATACTGAGTTCCTGCAGTATGCAGTACCTGATGATAGTCGGTCCGGAATGTGATGCAGCTGAAAGCAACGACGTCTGGAAGGAGGAAGCGAAGCACATCTGCTACCACTGATGTCGCCACTACTGTGTGTAAATCGTGGAGCCACCCCAAGCTTGCGTGAACGTCGCACGATCGCAGGTAACGGGCGAAGACCTCCGTATAAATATGACAGTGACGTTGCATACTGTCTCCTGCATCTAGCATCTTCGCGATCGGTGTTTGGCAGCCCTTTCGTGGTGACGAGAACAAAGGGATTTCCTCGGAAGGATTGTAATGGACGGTTAGGCAGATGTGGATAAGTTCGCGAACGAAGATGTAAACAGCGGCCACTCGGGTGGTGGTCGCAGCGCTCCACTCGTTGACCAGCTCATGACAATTAAGGCCGCTCATGTTGCCATCATATGCATGTTCAGGCGTTTCGACTTCTGTCAAACCACCTTATCTCCGCTAGGGCATGAAGGAGTGCAGGGCGTGGCTGCGTGATGAGCGTGAAGAGCATAGAATGGTGTCAGAAGGAAGAAAGAGGAAAGCAAGGGGAGCAAACAGAGGCAGATTAAAGCACACAGGGAAGATAAGAAAGGGCTGAAATGAAGACAAAGAGAAGCCAGAGGATATGAAAAGTACGACAGAGAGCAAGGGAAGAGCAAGAAGAGGTCAGATATAGTGTCTGGCGTTCAGTGCACAACGAGAGTGCGCACGCCGGACAGGCCGCTCGAGAAGAGACGGCCGATCTCAAGATGCTGTTTTTCTGGTTTCGTTTGAAGCGATGTACAGCTGCTGTGAGTTCTGGTGCACTATCGCACTATC